TTTTTTTTTTTTAAATTTCTCCCATTCCATTGGTTAGACAAGTAAAATTTGTTTGACGAAAATATGTCGAACTATTCCCTAAGTGGATGCTTTACTGCATATGGAACTGCATTTTTTGCCATCTTCCTTCCTTTCAGATTCCCATAAATGTAAATCTTAAATTTTGGTTGTGTGTGTAAGTATATATTTCTCTCTTGCAGCTTACTACCGGGGAGCAATGGGTATATTACTAGTGTATGATGTCACTGACGAGTCATCTTTCAACAGTAATTGCTCGTGATCCTTATTTAATTTCTGTATCACACACAATAAAAATTTCTTTTCATTATTGTTATACATATTCAGGCTTTCTGTTATGTATCATTGTTCAGTATGATCATATCCTTTTTGCAGACATTAGGAATTGGATCAGAAACATCGAACAGCATGCCTCTGACAATGTCAACAAGATATTGGTCGGCAACAAGGCCGACATGGATGAAAGCAAAAGGGTATGCTTTCATTTTCCTCTCCGAAAAATGTGTTGCGTAATGATCTCTCACTAATTGCTCGAACATCTTTAGGCTGTTCCCACATCAAAGGGCCAAGCGCTAGCAGATGAATACGGAATCAAATTCTTCGAGACAGTAAGTACTATTACTCTCATACTATGGATTATAAGGTCCAAACTAGGGCTGCAAACGAGTTGAATCGAGCATGGACCTTGTCGAGCACAGATTGAACTTTTGTCTTCACTGCTCGAGCTCGACGAGCCATGTAAAATGCTGCTCGACTCGACTCATTAGAAAAATAAGGATGCTCGAGCTCCACTCAATACTCGAGATCGACTCGATGCTCGACATGGCTCGAGTTCATCTCGAAATTTTAACAGCTAAATTTTAAATATAAAGGTAATATTTTTAATCATAATACACAATTTTGGCCTTGGTGTTCTATTATGGATTAGTAAACTATATGAGGTATTTATGCAAATAAAAAGTCGAGCGGCTCGTCGAGCTTACGAGCCTCTTCAAATGATGCTCGAGGCTCGACTCGTTTGAACTGCTCGAGCTCGGTCAAACTCGAGTTAAACAGAGTGCCAAGACAACATAATCCGAACACATTCATTCTCGACTTGAGCCGCTCGACTCGTTTTCAGCCATAGTCCGAACACATTTCATTCCAAATCATGACGTGTTAAACAGAGTGCCAAGACAAACATGAACGTGGAGGAGGTTTTCTTCTCAATCGCCAAGGACATAAAGCAAAGGCTTGCCGAAACTGACTCAAAGGCCGAGGTATTGATTTTTGGTCTGCTCACACGTGCTTTTATCATACGCATGTCCTGTGTTTGTGTGTGTGTGTGTGTAATATTGAGATTATTTAATGTGTTTTCGCACGGCAGCAGCCTCAAACTATAAGAATTGCCCAAAACGACCAGTCAGGAGGGGCTGCCCAAGCTGCCAAAGGATCAGCTTGCTGTGGTTCTTAATTGTTGAAAGTTAGGAGGGGCGATGGGGACATCCATTAAAATTGACCACTTGAGGAGAAAAAAACGTTAGTCTTTTATTATGACGACGATATATGTTTGTGTTGCTTGTATTGTTTAATTTAACCCCTCTTTGTTCTTCACTAGATGCTACATAGTTTGTGTCTGTGAAAAGATTTTTTATGCGACAAATTAATCAATATATTAATACTCCTTATTTCTATTCTCCTTTTCCTCCTTTTTGTATTTGTATGAAATGATGAAGTGTGTTTGAGTTATAAAAGCTGACTTGTTTGAACAATTTGCTCGTCCTTTTTTTCTTCTTTCCTATTGAACTCCAACCATGAAGATGAATCATGGTCAACAGAGACATCTTGGTCCGAGAGTCTTACTGTTGTGGTCTTGTTTGTTTTTAAATGAATTACTAAATGAAGATTATCTGGAACTCATTTTTCACTACTTTTTGTTAGATCTTTCTAAACGGACATCAGTTGCTCACCGAGTTTTCTTTGATTGGATTATGGAATGTTTTTAGACAGTTATGTTAGAGAGCCATCGGATGACTCCGTAGAATAAATTGTTTTATAATACTTGTAAAATTATAGGGAAATGCTAAGGTCTCGTTACGAAATCATTCCGTTAGGGTTTGTAACCGTTACATCATCATGTAATCGTAAGAGATAGTTGATCTAACGGTTCTAAATCTCGACGGAATGATTCCGTAACGGGACTGTAGCATCTTCCAAAATTTTATGGTCATCTTTGGTAACTAAGTTTTGAGGCTAAATTACACGTTTGGGGTGAAAAGTATTTGAAGTGTTCATTAAATCAATAATTCAGGCATTCCTTGTGTGATAAGTGATAATCAATCAACTGTCACTCTCACATAGTCAAAAGTTAAAAAAGTAATGCTATAGGTAAATAATGTTGTATATAGAGGTGTATATACCACTCACATTCAAGTATTTGAAGTGTTCATTAAATCAATAATTCAGGCATTCCTTGTCTGATAAGTGATAATCAATCAACTGTCGGTCTCACATAGTCAAAAGTTAAAGAGTAATACTACATGTAAATAATATTGTACATAGAGGTGTACATAACACTCACATTAAATGGGACCCACTAAAATAAAAAAGTCAAATGGATTCCACTCTATGTGAGTGTTATGTACATCTTTATGTACATTTATTATGTACACGTAGAGTTTTTCAAAGTTAAATAGTTCATTAAATTCAATCAACTGCCCACGGAGTCAAAAGTTAAGACAAATAATAAGTAAATGAAAATTAAACCATTAGTAATTGAAGTGTTGAGTAAACCAGTGATCGACGTTGTTGTTAGTCCATAGAGTCAAAAGTGTTCAGTAAATTAACCATAGAGTCAAACGTGTTCAGTAAATTAGAAACTGAAGTGTTGATTAAACCGTCAACTAAATAATGCCACAATACATTACACGAATTACATAATATTTAAACCTACATAATTATCAAATAATTTATGCTGCCCGCCATTAACAACATCCGCCATCATATAAACTAGTGTGTAGCCCGTGCGATGCACGGGATGTAATATTAAATAATAATTATAATACGTCTCGAGTTTAAGTCACCTAATAGAAGAAATGAGAACTACTATTGATCTTGTTTAAAAAAAGGAAGAAAATTAGACTTTAAGTGAATTAGATTTTTATTTAAACAAAAAAACTTATAAAATATTTTTACCGTAATAATGGATTTATAGTACTAATTGTGAATTATTTTTTTTTACTTTTTTTATTTATTTAATTTTAAATTGTTAAAATAAATAAGGGATTAGATTTTTTAACTATTCATCAGCAATTACCATAACAACAAATTACCACAAAATGAATTCAAAGTTATTTTTAAATTCGAAATTAATGATGTAAAGACGGAATTTTTAAAAAATGTGAAAAATTACCAAGATTAGTAACTTTTAAATTTGTGAGCGGGATTTTTGTTAATTTTTATGTAAATACAAACTTTTTAATATATTAACAGATATAGATATTGTTACTCTAACCAGTAGCCATTAGATTTAATTTAACTATTATAATTGAAAGTGTGTTTAAATTAGAATAAAATACTTTTGTTTGGAAACAAAACAAAAATTCAATACAATTTGATAACCACAAACTGAAACGCTTGTACACGCTACCATGTGTCTCACTCGCCCCCCACGCATCTTCCATTGCAGCCATAATTAATATGTGCTTTCACCGCCCCTGAATATCAAGAAATATCTCCACCCATCCCTACTCTCAATCAATCCAGAATAATACCAACAAATCCTCCCAATCCGTTGAAGATAATTCAAATCGAAAAGGAAAAAGAAAATCAAAAATCATGGTGCGTTGCGGTAACAAACCTAGTCGGGCTCCTGAACATCATCACGCTCGTCCTCTCGATCCCGATCACCGGCGGTGGGATATGGCTTTCCCTGGTGGCCAACACCGAGTGCGAGCGGTTCCTCGACCGGTCGGTCATCAGCGATAGCCTGGCTCCTCGTGTCCATGGTCGAACTCATCGCAGGGTTTCGTGGCTCCTATGGGTGTACCTGCAGTGCTGGTGATAATTGTCCTCCTTTTCTGCTTCACGATCTTCACCTTATATTAATAGATCACGCGGACGGTCTCGAGTGTATGCCATTATATTTTCTCTGTATTATTTTTCTGCACGTTTTGCGCCTTAATTTTGAAGAGCTCATAAAAAAAATTGTATCAATTAATACCCTTTTATACACAGGTTTTCTCTGTTCGTTTATCTCCACGAAAATTATGGAATGATTTTGTTAAGATATTAACCAAAATAGGAGGATTTTGTTTCCACGAAAATTATGGAATGATTTTGTTAAGATCTTAACAAAAATATGATGATTCTGTTTTTTTTTAAACGCGTTAATGTTTAAAAACACGTGAATTTGTTAGGATAATTATCTTATGTGATTTCTTAGAATAAATTTGTTAGGATAATTTGTTAGGATTATTATCTACCAAACAAAATAGACGTGAAGAATGGTGATAAGATAAATATGATTTAAAAGAAAAAGAAAAGCAATAAAATTTTTAGGATAATTACCAAAGCGTGATATTTAAATGACTTTCTACCAATCTACACAAAACGTGAAAATAGGAGATAAATTAGGAAAAAATTAAAACAAAAGAAAAGCAATAAATAAGTCTTTATTTTTTAGATATTTAAAAGACTTTCCACAAATGGGAAGTCAAAGTCTTTTTGACCAATTTTTTAAAACTTTCCTCAAATGATTTTTTTACCTTCCTCTTTCAATTATTATAGATAAGACCACCGCACAGAGGCGACAAAGTACCTCCCCATAACCATTTGCTCACCTATCCTCATTAGTCAAAGGATAAAAACTTAGGTTTAGGTTTGGCGGAGATTTTTTTTTTTTTTTAATCAAAATTAAAACTCAAATAGCCCAAACATTTGAGAGGGTTGCTTTTTTAGGTTAAGTGGTGGACAGATGTGGGTGGACTTGCGGTGGCGACACGGTGGTGGGTGGCTTGTGGGGTTCACTCACCGCTCACCGCGCATTATAGCACCGATGCCCAATCTCTTTTTCAATTTCACGGCCCTTGTCATAATTCCACCCACCCACCCCGCTACTATCGTGCGCCGCCCCATCACCATAGCCACCCCCCACCCACTAGGCCACCCACCCTCAGGCCACCACAGCTAGCTAGCTAGCCTTCCTAGCTTTTTCTCCTTTTCTTATTCACATACTCCATTCCCTCTAAACTATATCCGTGTTTTTACATTTTTAGATTCGGTAGCGAGTAGGAGTGCAACATGTCTTCAGCGGTAACCGCCGTCGCCTCCACCGACGACAACGTCGCGGCGGCCGCCGCCGAGAAGAAGCCACCACCGAGGAGGTTCCCGCCGCCGTGCTGGACTCAAGAGGAGACTCTGGTCCTGATCGGCGCGTACCGGGAGCGGTGGTACGCCGCCCGCCGCGGCTACCTCCGGACGGCGGACTGGGACGCGGTCGCCGCGGCGGTGGCGGAGCGCTGCCCCGGTGCATCCCCGCCGAAGACCTCCGCGCAGTGCCGCCACAAGATGGAGAAGCTCCGGCAGCGCTACCGCGCTGAGAAGCAGCGGGCGGCCCTCTCCTTCCCGTGTCCCCCGGGCCGGAACACCTCGCCGTGGTTCTTCTTCGAGAACATGGATGCTATGGAGAACGGCACGGCGCCACCGGCGCCGGGGCGGAAGCCGGAGGATCCGCCCGACGGATCTCAGCTGAACTCCCCGCATCTGGAGCAAAATCTACTGAAATTCAAGCTCAAGGCAACAAATAACCCGGAATCCAGCCCGGAATCAGGACTGAGACTAAGTTCATCCTACTTCGACACGGCAATCGCCGGCAGAGACGAGCAAGGCACGCCCGATTTCTCTAACCGCGCACCGAAAATCCACCCCACGAACAGAATTCCGATCGCCATCCCTCCGTTGAGGTCGATATCGAAGACTCCCGGCGAACTGTTCGCCGATCTCGCCTCCGGCGGCGGATTTTACCAACAGATGCTGCCTCCAGGCTTCAGAACAAACCAATTCCGATCCGATTACAGTCCACCAAACAACAACAACAACAACAATTTCGCAGATCCAAGCAAGAGAGCAAGCTACTGGCCAAACATAAACCCGAATTCGGATCCTCGACCCGAGACCCGCGGATCCAAAAGGGGGAGAGAAAGAGATGAGCTGGCGAAGATCGTGGCGTCGATCAAGCTGGTGGGCGAGGGGTTTTTGAGAGTGGAGAGAGAGAAAATGGCCATGGCGAGAGAGATCGAGGGGATGCGCATGGAGATGGAGATGAAAAAGAACCAAATGCTGCTTGAATTTCAGAGGGAAATTGTGGAGGCTTTTCGCAGGGGCATGCTCGAGTTGAAGAAGATGAAGGAGGTGGGATCCGATGGAGCTGCAGGTCCAGGTGAACCGTAATTTGGGGGAATTCGGTTTTTTTTATTATTATTATTTATTTATTTTTTCAGTTGAAAAAATGTAGTGTTGGTGACTAGTGGTGAGGTGATGAGTTAATGAGGTTGGACTTTGATCTCAAAGTTGTAAAATTATTGTGTTGGTAATAAGTAAATAAAGAGAAATCACTAGAATTTCCCGTATGTAATTGCTAATGGAAAAGTTCTATGGTTTTACAACATCAGAAAGATGAGAATATTATGTGGATGGTTGGATATTAGTTTAAGATATAATACTCATTACTTAATATTATTATGTGGACGGTTGGATATAGGCTAAGATATAATCTTTATATATTGAATAATTTGATGAACACTCCATCAGACAAAATTTTGGTGTCTATATATGTGATATAAAGTAATTTAATATTTCCAAAATAAAATATGTGATATAAAGTAATTCAATATTTAATATAAAAAATTTAAATTTTTTTCATAATTACCAAGGTAGAACACAAGTTGAAATAGCCGTGCTTATAATAAGAGTATGATAGATTTTGAGTTCAAATAGCCATCCTCATAATAGTAGTATGATTTGAGTTCAAATAGACATCCTCATAATAGTAGTATGATTTTGAGGTGGTTTCTAATAACCTCATTCAAAATCTAACAACATTTTATAACAAATGGCTATAATAGTAGTATGATTTTGAGGTGGTTTCTAATAACCTCACAACATTTTATAACAAATGGCCATGCTGATAATAAGAGTATGATAGGAGGTTTTGAGGTGGTCTATGATAATCTCATTCCAACATTTTATAACCTAAGAATGAGTTTTATAGTATTTCATTTCCTCATCTCATTTTTTTTAATAATTGATCTCAATTAGACTATTATTATTATTATTATTATTATTATTATTATTATTATTATTATTATTATTATTATTATTATTATTAATAGTTATCTTGAAGAATAAATTATGAATTGAATATTATTGTTTAATACTACTTAGAATCGTGTCTTTTTCACAAGTTAGGAAGGAATAGAGTTTAGAAGTCTTGTTTAAACGATGTATTGTTTGATGATGTTAGACTTATGCAGTAGGTTATAATTAGAAGATAATTAATAATGCGCCTTTATTAATAAGCTTGGAATATTCATTAAAAAAATGTTCTTCTATATTATTGTCTCTTTATTAAAAATTCCACCATAACATTTCATCCAATATTCAACCGTTCACCTGTACTCTCTAAAACATGCTGAAATGAGGATTATTGTTTGCAACTTCACAAACTCTGGGCCGAACGACAAAAATGGCCCCGAAACAAGCAAAAATTTCATGCCCGCGAAAGGATATCTCTAGTCTCCTCCACTTTTCAGTACATCTCAGCCGGCCTTCTCCTATTAATTGACCACACTAAGTATTTTTGTTGTGTATGCAAACTTTAGCAAGTTCAATCCTACATCATGAGGTTTTAACCGTCAGATCACACTCACACGTATACAGTTGTGTGTTGATCTGACGAAAAAAACTTTGTGGCCGGGGTGCATTACCCAAACGCCTTCCGGCGAACAAACAAAAAAGCTCAATTTACGTTAAATCAGAATAAACTTCGTGGCTACAATTCAATTTGACTTGAACTGAGAACACAGAATAAACTGGCCTGTGGTCTGAAAATTTTGATTCCCCTCTAGCATAGCACATTTGGTTAACCCCTTTCCCTTTCCAAAGAATTCTGTCACACCTATCAATTTAAAAAAAAAAAAAAAAAAAATCAAAAAAGGCCATTTAACATATAGTATGTGAGTTTTAAAATTTTGAATTTAGAACAAAAACATTGGTTTACATTAATTATTATAAAGTTTCTCACCAGGCGGGAGTCCTGCGCTTATTTTTCGGTGTGGGGATTTGGATGATGTAATTGTCTGAGTTTGTGAGGTATTTGTACGTCGGAGCAAAATATATTTTCCCTTCTTCCCATCCTTTGAACACGCGACCCGCCTTCTGTTCTATCTTTAACTGGCATACATTCAAAAATTACATATTTTCCAGTGAATATAGCTTCGTTCATTTTCAAAAGAGAGTATGAATCAATAGCTTTATAGTTTAGAAAAAGGTATATTATTCTTATTTAACAGGATCTATATTGTAATGTATATGATCAATATAAAGACCCTTAACTCCATCAAATGTGAATAAAAAAGGATATACTATAGATAGATATTCTCATTCTCATACCTCATCTTTCTTCAAGAGTGCTTGCCAATCATTCCTTTCTAGTAACTTGTACGTATCATCGCCAATGCAAGCAAGCCGATAATTCAAGTCCCCAAACCAAATTATACTGCTACATTAACACAGAACCACATACATAGATGAAGTATTAATTTAAGCAACACACAGAAAAAAGGTTCAAGAACCATTTGAAACACTTGTAAAGTGATGGCAAATTAAAAGAAGAAAGAAAAAAGGGATAATGGAACTCACTCATGATCCAAAATTTTGTCCGGTGGGGCTTGTTTCCCCCGACCCCTACACGAATGGTCGAATCTTGTTCGTTTCAGAATTTCTTTCACGTCCGAATTTCTTCTAACCGCGTCACACTCCTTTTCTCCGGACGCTAGATGAGTGCACACGAAGCAAAGCGTTGTTTGATGCAATGTCATGCTGATAGATATTGATCCCTAACGACATATTTTGTTTCATTAGCAAGCAAGTCAACAATTTAAAACAAATATTTAACCTGAACTTGGAACATATCATAATTTATGTTGAAATATCACTTGTGAGTTGTTCTATATGGTGCACATAACCGCACCACAAAAATTTTCCCTAAAATCAACAAGCTTGGAGCTTCCAAACAAAAGATTTTGCGTCAAAGTAAAAACTATACCTTATTCCCAAGATATCCCATGATGCCCCTTCCAACACATGAAACCTCCAAGCTGGTAATAAGATTATCCAAGTCTTTGCGAACCCAAACGGACAAAAATATCCCCACCATCTGCTTGCTGACGGCCAAACAATACTTAACTTGTGGTGTACCGAGATTCTTTTCCGATTGGTTAGATGAACCTGGACCGGGTGAACCCTCCTCAGTGGAACAAGAATTGGAGCCCTTTGTGTCACTCAGCTCATCATTTAATGGGATCAACAAGTCAGAGGAGCTGACTCTCGGTTTGACTTTCCGGTGTCGTTGACTGCTCTGTTTGAAAGAGACATTAATTGTGTCGTGGTTTAGAGATTTGTGGATTAAGGAAATCCATTTTGAGGCTGGGATAGGGTCTTTGGGACCTAGCACGTTGCATGCATTTAACTGTACAATCTCCTGGAACCTAAATTAATTTAAGGAAATTAAAATTCTCATTAGCTTTTAACTTTGCTAAGCATAACTATAAACTAATATTCCTCGTCTTCCATTTATATGATGTTATCACTTCATAAGAGATGACAAAATTCCAAAAAAACACAATAAAATCCTCATCTTTTCCATTTATTTGATGATATATGACCACTTTTTTCGAATAGCTCATTACATTATGCCTTGACTAGACGATATTCTTGGAGACGAAAAAATTAGAGATTTAATCCTATAAGTGACACTAACTAACTGACACTATTAATTGATAAATAGTCTGTTGGTGGCGTTGATTTTACAAAGCACACTGTAACTGCAAAAAAACCTGACTATTGATCCTTCCGCGGGCAAAAGTCCGCCGACAATTTGACCGGCTGCTGAAGTGGATATGTTAGCAGTCGGTTGCCACGTGTACGAATAAGAAATTAAAAAATATTATTCACGGCAACAAGCAACTACGGGGACCTGCTTTTGCCGGTGGAAGGACCAAAAGTCATATTTTTTCAGTCGATCACATTCTAATCAATTTCATCGATGTTTTTTTTTTTTTTTTTTTTTTT